ATGGCACAGCTATTCAACTCCTGGGGTGTACCATCCTCTTACATAGAAGATTCAAGGCAAAGTGGAGAAGTTCCCTGATTTCTATTCAAAGTGCAGAAGGTACTGTTGCTGTATCGCCTTAATGTAAGAACCCTGATCATAATAAATGAATGATCATAATCAATAGAAAATTTACAGTAAGCCAATTGGCTGCAGATGATTGGATGTAGATGGGATCTGGGCGAACAATTTCCAAGGTTATACGTGAGTTTAGTTGCGTCGCGTTGAGATCACTTTGTCCTCTTTGTCAGCGCTACGTATAACTTGATGTATAGCTGTGTGCAACGCGTGAACTTAGCGCTATCAACGCTTGCCGTCGGGATAACACGAAAACTTCGACGGCAATGTCGTTCGTATAATTTACTTCTTCTTAATGCCATTATCCGTTTGGACCGACAATAATACGGCGCTGCTAACGCAACATTAGAGCTCGTATAACAGGGTCCTTAGTGACAGTATGCGCGTTTTAAATATCAAGAAAGTTAAATGTAGGGTAATATCTAAAAATGAAATTATCGATAGCTCCATAGAACGTTAACGGTTATTCACTTCCAGGATATAACAATACTTGAGCTGCAAAATAAATAGCAAGTGGGATTCAATCTTTAGAAATACGTCGTCGCATTGTACAATCAAGACTAAGTTTTTTTAGGTACAAGAAAATTCTGTGAAGGTACGATATAAATCTCAATCTGAAGTGCTTCTTAACAGACACCATGTTGTCTGAGAATGATAATACATATACAAACCGAACGTCTCGCAATCACTAATCGGATACAGCAATTCAAAAAGAGGAAAAAGATACTCAAAAAATAATTAGGCCTTCACATTTTTTGGACCAGCAGTGTCCTTATTGAATATCTTGTAACATAAGTCGTAATAAAATTTTTAGCATTTTTGTTATTTTTTTTATCGTTTTAAACTCTTTTGACCAAAAGAAAGTTACTAAACCAATGTTTCTATTTAAAAAAAATGTGTCATTTAATAAACTGATGTATTTTGAGTTCAATATCTAGATCCAATCGATTTTTATTATATTTTTTTATGGTACAAACGACGAAAATAACACAGATTTTTAATGTATAGTTTTTGTTTGAAAATGACACTGATAAAACTGGTAGAAGTATTAGTATACATTTTTGTTGAAAATTTACGAAAATTTTGAAAAGATTGTATTAGTCGCACAGGCTGAATTAATGCGTGAATGATAAATACATGTTTTGAAAAAGTTTTGATGAAATACTGTTACATTTCTGTGAGTTGTTCTTGCTAAGAAACACTTTCAATTTGAAAAACCCAGTGTAACGTGCTTGGCAGTAAAAAGGTAATGCACTTTGAAAAATCTAAGAGGCAAATTTGATTTTTTCTTTGAGAATAATGTCATATTAGCCTGAAACGGTCGACAGTTATTAAGCGATTTCTATCTGTAAATTTAAATAAAACAATGAAATGTCTAATTTTACATGACTCTGGCGCATAAATCAGTCTGAATTTGACAAGATGGCATGGTTTGTGATAGCCGTTGATGGTGATTACCTGTGAATTCACACCAAACAGTAACTTTTTGTTGACCTCAACCCTGAAGACGATTTTTCGATGAAAACCGGGGTCAAACTCCTCAAGATATTCTCAAAATTGGGTATGGCACATTAAGAAGAATCAATATTATTTGTGTTTTTATTTTTTCGGTCATAGAGCAGAGACAAAGTTTGAACACAGCGAGCTAGTTAAGACGTGTGTTTGGAAAAGTATTTAAGGCTTACTTAAATATCTTATTTTTAATATTCTTGATATTTTATAATACCTTATTTATTTATCTGTTTTAATTACTTATTTAGTGGCCATCTTCATTATCTGCTTTAAAATTCCTACGTCAAAATTGCCATACTCTATGTTTGTCAAATCCGAGAAACACTTATCTAAATCACCACACGTTTTCGGGAAATAATTAATTTTACCTCCAAACACTTGAAATAAAAGGTTTAAACTATCAATTTATTGAGGAAATGAATACGCAATTTTGTACAAAAGCTTAAGATGACAGCTTTAACGTATTATGGTGCATTTGGCATCTGAAATAATCCCAAAACGACCACATCTAGGTAACAGTATATTGTACCTATGAAGGAGGCAGAAGTTAGCAAGACTTTGCGACGAGAGTTCATTTTACTACATCCATGCAACGCCACGAAGAGTTTCGACGCTGTCTTCATCTTTCTGCTAACTACACCACTACAAAGAGGGCAAGCGCGCTTCCTCTGAATTTATAATTTATGAGTTATGCCAATCGATTTTTTTTATTATTTATAATTATCATATATTTCAAATCATTGTTTACTACTTTAACTAATCGATTAATTAATTAATTGTATTGTTGTTCTGCTTTTTGTATAGTATTGTTTATTGGAGTCATCACTCAGCAATAAGAGTCTTCATTATCAACATCACACAACAAAAAAATTTTTCTCTATGTGATTTCTCTACTCAATTACTACTTTCTCTAATTTTATTTTTAATTAATTTCTCCGTTTTCTTACTGTGTCAAGTCATTTTGTCTTTATCACATATTTAATTAGTTAAAACAACACAAATTGAGTTTTTTCTAGACCGGTCCGAGTTAATGACAACTTTTATCTTATAAATCAAACTCAATTTCTGAAAATCTTTAGCAGTTCAGTTAACATAACCTCACTTTTCAAGAGTTTTCAGGATTTGATCCACATGCCTAGTAATAATTGTGAAATTCTGTTAATTATGTTGTCGTTCAGCGGTCTATTTTATGATAAAAATAGGAATTTGCGACGTTGCCAGATGTAGTACTGACAAAACAAGAGCCTTAAAATCAGGACACTTCTCTAAATGTATTATCAGTGTAAAATATGTATTTTTGTGGCAATTAAAGGAATATTTTCACATTTATATCTATTTTTTATATACCGCTCGATCATTGGGCATTTAACATCTTTATAACGTGCCCTACATTTTTTTATCATATTTGGTACATTTTTGTGTGTATGTTCGTCTAGGAATCCAGTTACTCTACAGAATAACTAATCCATAGCTATTCTGTAACGTTATAAACGTTACAGTCTCGACTCCTTCTTCACCTTTTACCATTTTTCTTATAAGTAAAGTTGGTGCAGAACATTTATTTTTTTTTAATTCTTTTTCTCCTTAGTTATCTCAAATTCCATATGTTTTCTTATTCGCTCTAAGCTTTCTCTGTGTGAAAACATATCAATCAGACCTAGTAGTCAATATTTCGAAATTATGTAGATATAGTGACCCCCTCCAACGTAGCCTCTGTAGCAAATAGATTAGTTTAACTCCTGTCCACATGCTATCTTTAGACAGCATGTCAGAAATCTTCGTTTTAATTTATTTTCCATCGGTTTTTAGCAAATAAGGGTTTAGTATCAATTTAAGTCGCAAAATGATTTAATATTTTGCACACTACACGTACTTCTTGATGTATTTCATCTTAGCGGCACTATAACTTCTAGGTTGACCTAGGTCTAGATCGCTAGGTTGGCGATCCAAATGGCAATTGTGGTTTTGGAAACTGCTGCGCGAAAGATTTCTGCCACCTCCTCAGATCTTTCAGCCATGAGTTCTGGCGTCTTCCTACTGATCTTTTGCCCTGTACTTTTCCTTCCAGTATAACTTGAAGTAATTCATATATTTCACCTCTCAACACATGACCCAAGTATTGCATTTTCCTCTCTGTAATTATTCTTATTAATTCTTTTTGTTCACACATTCGACGAAGGTTCCTCAACCTTAGTAACTCTTTGTACCCATGGAATTTTCAACATTCGTCTGTATATATACATCTCAAATGCATCTATTCTTTTTTCTATTTCAGAGTACATTGTCCAACTTCCAGCATAGTAAGACAGAAAAACGTAACTCTAATCATTCGGATTCTAAACTGCAGACTAAGGTCTGATCTTGTAATATTTTCATGCTAATGAATGTTTCCTTGCTTGTTCGATTCTTGATAATATTTCTTTTTTTGTATTACACTGACTATTTATATTTGCTCCCAAATATTTTATGGAATTTACCTGTCTATTATTTGAACCTTGGCATACCAATGTAGGTTTATTGGTGTCTTTGAAAATACTAAAGTTTTAGTTTTGGAAACGTTTAGACGTAAACCGAACATTTCGCTGTGGTGAACTACCGCTTTTATTATATTTTGTAGTTCTTGTGCGTTGCTTGCTATTAAGACAGTATCATCAGCATATCTGATGTTGTTTATGCTGATTCCGTTAATCTTAATTCCGCCTTGGATCTGGTCTAATGCTTCTCTGAATATAGACTTCGAGTACAAATTAAACAGTAGCGGTGATACGACGCAACTCTGTCTCACTCCTCGTCGGATTTGTATATCTTAGGATGTTGTGTGCTCTATTTCAATTGTTGCCCTTTAGTGCCAGTATAGCTCTGAGATAATTCGCAAGTCTTGTTCGTCAACTCCAGTTGTTCTCAGAATTTTGATCATCTTTTGATGGTTAACGCAGTCAAATGCATTTTGGTAGTCAATAAAACATGCATATACATCTACATTCATGTCTCTGCATCGTTGCGTTAACACATTTAAAGCAAAAAGAGCCTCTCGTGTTCCCAATCCGTTTCGAAATTCGAATTGAGTGCCACTCATCTGGAAAACGCACATCTTGTAAATGCAACTATAATTTGCTTTACTTAAATTTAGATAGAGTGACCGAAACTACAGCCAGTTTAGTCATCAAAATGCATTTTACAGTCTACTACCCGGTGAGATGATTCGTTTCGATACGTAATTGAAAGTGTTTCTTCGGTACACCAAGATGAATTAAACATATCAACGTTACGTAAGCGCCAACATTGCGCATGCTTCGAACGAGACACACATTCAAAAACTGTTCGTCACTCAGTTCAAAATGTAACTACAGAAATACAATGGGAATACTTACGAATTTTTCGGCTCGCCCCTGTACACTTCCGGGTCGCTTTTCTTGATCTCGCTCTCCCGTATGAGATCCGTCAGAGATTTAAAAATGGTTCCGTGGATACTGCAATAAATAAAAATAGACTTCATATTTACTCGAAAACAAATACATAAAAAAATACATAATTTTGATAGCAATATTCGCGTATTGTTTCTCGATATACATTATTTTCGCGTGATATATGTTTTAGAGGTGCTGTAAAACTTGTTTATTTGGACTACGATGTCGTGGGAGTTAGCCCCTAGCCACCTGATCGTCCGTACTTCAGTCCAATGGATTTTTATGTTTGGTGCCGGCAAAATGTACTGTTTACCTCCAACATACTTTCAAGTTGCAATTATCTATTGATCAGAACTGAAGAAGATGCTAAATATTATCGTTTTGTGAAAGAAATGAAAATAGAAAATGTTTACATCAAATCAATAACATTTTTGTGTTACATATGATTTAGCAATTGTATACATGCATCTTCATCACACTTTAAAAATTGTTTACTTTTTTTAGACACAAAATTTTCTTTGTACTGAAAGACTAGATAGTAAATATCAACTTTTGAAGGTATGTACGAACTTCAAAGAGAGAAGATATCTCCCTACAACAATCGTGGACTACCAAAAATGTTGCCTGCTCTAATGTCACGTTGAAAAAATAACATAGCAGTGATGAACTTCTAATCAAATCGTCTACCAGAACGAAAAAATGAACATTTTGACACATCCGTACATTCATTTCAAGCCAAAAATTAATTAAACATAAAACTGCACTCAAAAACTGTGTATGTGCCCAAATGGACACATGCGAAGGATTTGAGCAGATGGTACCTTCTGGAAAGCTATAAAAATCGAGCATCTCCAAAACTTTTGAATGCTCGTTAGGCTGAACAAATCACCCACCAGTTTATTTATAAATAGAAATATGTCCAACACAACAAAAAAATTAATATCTTGACTCATCCTTACATTAATTTCGGCCCATTAATTAATTAAGCATAAATATTTTAAATAAAATCAAAAATATTTTCTTGTAAACTGTATATGTGCGCCAACTAAAACACATGACAAGGATTTTAGCAGATTTTTGTCTGCTGGTTTGTTGGGCTGAACAAATCGCCCACCAGTTCATTTATAAACAGAAAAATGTCTACCAGAACAAAAAAATTAATATATTGATTCATCCTTATATTAATTTAGGTGCGTTTAGAAACGGACCTGTTGGAAGGCTATACAAATCGAGAACCTCTAAAACTGTTGCCTGCTCGGATGTTAGGCTGAAAAAATCACCCGCTAGTGCATTTATAAACAGAAAAATGACTAAAAGAACAAAAAATTTACATGCTGGCATATTCTTACATTAATTTCAGCCCATGAATTATTTAATCATAAATATTTTAACTGAAATCAAAAATATTCTCTTGTAAACTATATTTGTGACCAAACGGACACAAACGCGAAGGATTTTTTCACATATCACCTTCGCAGAGTTGCCTATCTATAAAAATCGGACACCTACAAAACTTTTGCATACGTAGAACGGAAAAATTAACTTATTGACCAATTCCAAGAATGAACTGCAGCTTAAATGTTAATAGCTGAGATTAAATATATTCTCTTGGAAACTGTATATTTGTCCAAATGGACACAAATTCAAATATTATGAACATTTAACACATTTTGAGAATGAACTGAGAATGAACTGAGGCCTGAGAATGAACTTGACCAAAACTAAGTGTATGACAAATTTGGTCCCCAATAACCATTTGACTATTCAAGACAAAGTTGTAGAACTGGTGGAGAAATATACGTATTTGGGTCATGAAATAAGAATCAGCAGGGATAACCAAACATGTGAGATCCAAAGAAGAATTACTTTAACATGGGCAGCCTTTGGAAAACTGCGAGACACACTTAGGGCCAACATACCAATCAGCCTCAAAAGAAAAGTGTTTGACCAATGCGTATTACCGGTCATGACCTATGGGGCGGAAACTATGACTTTAACCAAGACCACGGCTTCGAAACTGAGAGTGGCACAGAGACGAATGGAACGGTCTATGCTGGGAGTGACGTTAAGGGACCGAATAAGAAACGAAGATCTGCGAAGAAGGACGAGTATTACTGATGTTGTGGAACGCATAGCGGAACTAAAATGGAACTGGGCAGGCCATGTAGCGAGAATGCACGATTCACGATGGACGAGCAAAATTACAAACTGGAGGCCAAGAGCAGACAAACGCAGTAGAGGAAGACCACCTACACGTTGGGCCGACGACATCAGGCGTATCACTAAAAATTGGCAACAAAGAGCACAAAGGAATGGAGGAGTTTAAGGGAGGCCTATGTCCAGCAGTGGACGTGATAAATAGAGGCTGGATGATGATGATGAGGATGATGATAACACATTTTGTAGCTGCCTGATATGCAAAAAAAACTAGGTTACTTTTTCTGTCGTTAAAATATTTATTCTTGTATGTAGTCTTGAATGCAGAATACCCCAGTGAAGTTCGGCGATGACTACTGCAAAAATTCTTCCCCATTTGAGCTCTTATTATTACCGTTTGGAGAACTAATCATTCTCATTATTTGTTGTAACGTAACTAGGTATTTGTTGTCTGCTAAGAGAATGTCTGGCTTCTATCCTCTCTTCATCTTCAGCTGCAGGAGGGTAAATATGTCGTTATACAAATGAATATGTATGATAGAAATACGTCTATCAGAACGATAAAAATGAACTTATTGACTAATTCCATAAATGAACTGCAGCTCAAACGTTAATACCTTAACAGAGATCAAAGATATTCTCTTGACAACTGGATATGTGTCCAAATGGACACCAATTCAAATACTATGAACACCTGATACATTTTTCAGTTGTCTGGCATGTAAATATCTTAAAATATGTGTTCTTATATCAGAATACTATAATGCAACTTCTTTTTAAATTCTGTCACGTCGTGAAGGTCGGCGATATAGGACGTACCTCAGCTCTCAGAGGAAATTTGTACCTGTTCTTCTATCACGTAAATATTTATAATATAAACGCCTAAAGGGGATTATACATTACATAAAAATCTTTTTTCTAAAGAGTGATAATACCCTTAAATATTTTATCCGATATTACAACTATGGTTAACTTTTGCGATGAATGTGTATAATAACTAATTTTATATTGTGTATACTTACATTTTAATAGTAAAATCAGGCAACGCAGTAACAATTGGCACAACAAACAGGCCTAACCAGAACAGAGTCGAAGAAAACACCATGATGTACATCCCCGACATAACTGACCCAAAAGGTATGGTAGGCCAAAACAAACTAGAAATGAAAAGTTGATTATGCACCATCACAAATTAGAGTTTTATCAGTACATACCTGTAGACAATAATAAAGAGAAACCATAACACTATAGATCCCCATATCGCGCAATGGGTCAACCACGTCCAGGAGTTCGTCACAAGTCCCGCTTTTAGACAAACTGTGATCACGACGTACTGAAATCAAAAACAAAAGTATGTAGCTTCGTATAAAAATATCATTTGAAGATATAATGCTAAATATAGACCAGAACAAGAGGTTCTGGTCTATATTTAGCATTATATCTCTATAATAATCATCTTTAATAATACATTTAATCTGAAACATAAAACGTTATAATGTACTTATAAAACTTAATACGTGCAATATTATCTCAGCGTATAAAAATGCAACCATAATACGATTCTACACTTATATAACTAACTAATTATGTGATCAAAAGTGTGTCTAGAATATATTAAATCTAAATAACAATCTACGAGGTGACGACTTATCGAGTTACATAATTTGACTTTTTGGGCGGGGCGTAACGATTTCGGTCTAAGCATAAAAGTTTTATTTTTGCCACTGCATTACGTGTCAACCTATGGAAGGACCTTCAAAATGTTTAAAGTTTACTACATGAAACGATCGTGACGTGGAAGTTTTTCTCGTGGTGTATGTGGGATTTCGAACGTAAGCAAGCATTGTGTCACAATATCTTGGAATTTCCTCGTTCAGCAGCCGCTCGATACAGATTTTTCAGCTGAAGACTCATCTATTGATTTCTCTTTCGTAACCAACGTAGTGACTTACGCCCAATTCGTCGTGTTCATGTGACTTCATCTAGGGAATGAGTCACAGTAGATAATATTTAGGTTTTCTGGCAATATAACCTTTTTTTTTTTAATTGTATATAGAATTCCGTCTCTCTAAGAACCTTCTTGTGAATAGTGTGTGTCGACCTCAATAACTTCCGAATTCAACGATAATAGCACAATTCAAATGCTTATAGTCTGTTCCATCGTTGCTGCTTATAAAGACCGAATCTAACATCCATATTGCAAGACACTGAGGACACATTTAAGAATTCTTTTGCGAGGTACCTAGAGATATTTCTGTTGTATACTATCGTTTTTCATAAAGGTCTTACTATATATGTCAAGTCAGGAAAGAATTAACTTTTGGAGTAAGGTTCATAAAAAAAATTGAATTGAAACTTTCCGTTCGTTTTTTTACCACTAGAATCCAATGAGTCATAGCCAAATCCTGAAGAAATCAATAATGGTACTGAAGAAGCGGTTCATATTGTATTTTCAATTCGAAAAAATATAAACTGTATATTTGTATAAATCTAAAAGAAAAATTTTTTACTCAAATTGAGTCTCTTCACATTTTCTCCATGTGCCCGAAGTGTGATAACTAACTACCGGACTGACGCTGCTGATAGATTTTGATGTTTCTATGCTGGTTGAAGTTCTTTCAAACCTGAGCACGATGGGCATGGCTGTAAGTCGCTCAGTCTAGTTGTAGCAATTACAAATTCAAGTCCTTCTAGAGTCTTGTTGAAGAAATGCAGATAGTTCAGATACAGCAACGAGTTAACCTTCAGTTTTTTATGAACCTGTGAAACCCGCAAGAGAAGCTCAACTCATGTTAAAGGAAGTGTACGAAGTGAATTTTTATCGCTAACACAAGTTTTTGAATGGGTTATAAGGTTCAAGGAGTAATGTGAAGAGAGCGAAGATGATCCGCGTCTTGTACGATCTTCAAAACATTGTCGCTGAGATAGTGATCAAGTCTAAGGTATTAATAAAGAAAATGTCCGTCAGATTCTGTATTGAACATGCAGAAAGTTTTTGCTGGGACCTAGCATCCTGTGATTTTTGATTTTCTAAGGTAAAATGTGACCGGCAGTTTTGTAGCATTAGTTCGATTATTTAATCGTCGCACCTTCCAAAAGGTTCTTTTACTAATTTTTATTTCTATATACAACTTATACAATCCTAAACGCGTCGAAAACAAAAGATGAAAACGTTCAGGAAAGTAGTTAATTGTTGCAGAAAAATCGTCACCTGTGTCTCCTAAAAGCTTGAGCAAAAATGATACCAACAGCTGTTCACTCCAGAACCAAAAGAATCTAGAATGACTGGACCATCCAACGTATGCGACTGACCAAGCATTATGCGTGTTTTTAATTTTCTAAGGTAAAATTTGACCTTAAGGGTGTTTTTGTAGCACTATTTCGGTTATTTAATAGTCGCACCGTCCATAAGGTTCTATTACTAATTTGTATTCCTATATACAACTTTTACGATCCTGAACATGTCAAAAACATATGAAAACGTTCAGAAAACTAGTAAATTGTTGCGCAAAAATCATCACCCAGGTCTCCTAGCTCTTGCTGAAGTCATAGGAATTAATTAAGAAAATATCCCTCAAATAAATGCTGCATTGAAGATATCGAAAGCTTGCGCAAAAATGGTACCAACGGCTTTTCACTTCAGAACAAAAGAAATTGAGAATGATTGAACCATTCACCGCATTCGCCTAACCTGTACACTTTTTATGTTTTTTATTTTTTAATGTAAAATGTGATCTTGAGGGTATTTTTGTAGAACCGGTACCGGTTATTTAATTGTTGCACCGTCCAGAAGATCCTATTACTAAGTTTTATTCCTATATACAACACACACTTACACAGTACTGTTCAAACTTAAGCTAACATTAGCGGTTGGTGTTATTATAATTGATTCAGCAGTTGTGGGACCAATACAGCAGTGGAAATTTACTGCTTATCAAGTATTTTACATATTGGCTCCTTTTCTTTTTAAATCATAATTCAGTTAAATAATTCAATTAATTAATTACTGTACTGTTTTGGGATATTTCTCCTTTTCCAGATGTAAATATTATATTATAAATGTAATCTTTTAAAAGTGACTCGTTTTGTAACAAGCTAGTTCCAAATGAACAAAATACTCTATTATTCAGGCAACAATGATCCAAAACATTTCAATGGAGTAGGTGTAATAATAAACGATGAATTGAGTAACGCAGTTTCAAACTTTATACCACTCTCTGACAGAGCAATGCTGTTGCAAATAAGGAGTTCTCCTTTTAATGTGAATATTATTCAGGTCTATGCACCAACCGCAGATAAGCCAGATGACATACTAGAAGAATGGTATGAAGATCTACAAAAGCTCATGAAATTGACAAAGAAAGAAGATATTAACATCGTCCTAGGAGATTTTAACGCTAAAATAGGAAGAGGGAGATTCCAAAATATCGTAGGAGAATACGGACTAGGAGAACGAAATGAAAGAGGAGACAGACTATTAGAGTTTTGCCAGCAACACAATATGATAGCAACAAACACTTGGTTTAAGTTACCTCAACGTAGGTTATACACATGGACTTCCCCGCTACACACAAAAGAAAGAATAATAAGAAATCAAATAGATTATATTTTAATCAACCAACGATTTCGTAACTCCATTACAAGTACAAAAACATATCCTAGTGCTGATGCAAATTCCGACCACAACCCTGTAGTAACAAATATTCGCACAAGAATTAAAGTAATAAAAAATGCAAAGCCGAAGAACAAACCTAATATGGAACTACTAAAAGATGTACAGATTAAAGATAAAACCACTGTAAAACTAAATGAAAAACTCTCAGAAATAGACCGAACCCAAATAAATATCCAAAATATAAATACAACTTGGCAACAAATAAAATCCATCCTCGTCAACTCTGCAAGGGAAGAAATTCCAAATACACGATTAATGGCAAAAAAAGACTGGATGACACCAGCTATTCTAAAGATGATAGACGAAAGGAGGAAATACAAAAATAAGAACACAATCGATTACAAAAGATTAAATACAGAAATACGAAGGAAAATAAAAGAATCAAAAGAGAAATGACTCGAAGAAAAATGTAAAGAAATAGAAGAATTAGAACAGACATGATTACTTTAATATGTACAAGAAGGTGAAAGAATTTTCATTCATCCACAAAAAACAACATTGCCCACTGGTAAATAACAACGGAGAGTTAATTCATAACACCAAAGATAAAATAGAAGAATGGGAAAAATTTATACAACAGCTGTTCCGAGATGAAAGAATAGACACTACAATAAATAATGTTACTGAAAGCCTTCCAATTCTAAAAGTCGAAGTGGAATATGCCATTAAACAATTAAAGACCAACAAAAGCCCTGGACCTGATGAAGTTTATCCTGAAATACTTAAATTGATTGAAAGTAATAACATTGATTTGTTAGTAATTTTGTTTAATACAATCTACGATACTGGGGAAATACCAGAGGAATGGTTAGAATCTATTTTTATTCCCATTCCAAAACAAGCTAACTCCAGACGATGCGCAGATTTTAGATTAATAAGTCTTATGAGCCAAGTGCTTAAAATTCTATTAAAAATACTTCGCAATAGGGTATACAAAAGGTGTGAAAAAGAAGTTGGATACGATCAATTTGGATTCAGAGCCGGAATGGGGACCAGAGAGGCCTTGTTTTCACTACAAGTACTGCTGCAGAAGTGTTACGACCAACAAAAGGATGTCTTTCTATGTTTTGTAGACTTTGAAAAGGCATTTGATCGCGTAAACCATAATAAAATGTTAAATTCCTTGCAGAGCATCAACTTGGATAGTAAAGATCTCCGATTAATTAAGAACTTATATTGGAGGCAGAGTGCCAAGATTAGGATCGACGATCATACATCTAGAAATATTAGAATAAATAAAGGAGTAAGGCAAGGATGCATACTATCCCCTATGCTGTTCAATCTTTACTCGGAACTACTATTCAAGCAAGCCTTGGAAAACCTTTCCACAGGAATAAAAATTAATGGAGAACCAATATCTAGCATAAGATATGCAGATGACACTGTCCTACTGGCTGATACAGACAAACTTACAGGGGGTTATAGACCACCTCAAGGATGCTTGTCGAGAGTTTGGAATGAAGATCAACGAAAAAAAAAAACAAAAGTAATGGTGATCCAAAGAAAACAGAATATCCCCTTACCTATAAAAATAAATGGGAATATTTTAGAACAGGTAAACCAATACAAATACCTTGGCTGTTGGATTAATTGCAAGCTGGACCCAGAACAAGAAATTAAAGCGAGAATTGCTCAAGCTAGGGATAGTTTCTTTAAGATGCGCGTTCTATTCTGCGATACACATATAAATATTAAATTGAGATTAAAACTTGTAAAATGTTTTATCTGGTCTGTTCTTCTCTACGGAGTCGAAACGTGGACTTTAAAAATAAAGAGCCTGAATAGAATCGAGGCATTTGAAATGTGTAAAGGCAAAAAGCGAGGCAAAAAAACCAGTTATTTAGGGCATTTGTTGCGCAACGAGAAATACTACATCCCTCAGTTGATAATAAAAGGCAAAATAGAAGGAAAGCGAGGAATTGGAAGAAAAAAATTGTCCTGGTTACGTAATATCAGAAACTGGACAGGACTTGGATTTGAGGAACTCTTAAGAGCAGCTGAAGATAGACAAACGTTTGCCACCATAACCGCTAACCTCCATTGATGGAGACGGCACTTGAAGAAGAAGAAGTTCCAAATATATTGAAATTTCACCAAAAATTTGATTAGGTTGGTCTATATTCTGAATCTTAAAACTTGGATGAACTGAACTAAAGCACTTATCATTACCTTACAAAATGGAGGAAGTGAGCAATTTTGGATATTGAAAATGGCGTCTTCTCGCTATTTTATACTTTTCAAAATGGCGAGTTTCCGTTTTGTAAGATGTCTAAATATAATCATATATTAAGTACTATATGGCAATATGTGATACATAATTTGAAACTGCTTGTGTCAGTACGTTTCTATATTTTTGTGTGTTTCTGCCGCATTATTTCCACAAATTGCAGAAATTGTGCTGTAGAAATTATCTAAAATTGACTCACAGTCCGACAACATCCCTTTATTTGTATCTTGAAACATACTTAATGAGACAAGACCTTACAAAAGATGCAACACATCACAAATCATCGTTTAAAAAATGACAATGACATCTGTCACAGTTTTTTGCAGATGTTAGTGACACCAAAACGTAAACTCACGTATTACTTGTCATATGATATTAAAAATAATTATACAAAATGGAACCTGTCGCAATCTTTACTGAATATTACTGTTGATACTTTATATACTATAAATTTTAAGATTAGTAAAAAAAATCTTGATCTGATAACTACGAGTAAAAGTTGCAAAAAATGTGTTAAAATAATGAAGATGATGTTGAAAAATCGAACCTACCGTATACACACAATTCCCGAGAACCAAATATCCTCCGTCGTGTCCATTTAGCCACAAAATGTCGTGTTGGTAAGCCAGTAAAGGCAGCCAAAACAAGAGAGCCGAATGCACCATTCCGTTTATGATCCACACCCAAAAAACTTTAATGTTGAACAGCTCTCCACTCTGGGAAGGTTTGTAGAGCTTCGGGAACTGCATCATCTTGTCAGAGCTGCAAGGTTTGTCGAACAAACCCATAGCTAGAGGAGGTAGCGCTGTGAATATAACGTTGTAGAGACCAATGGTCCACCGCTCGAAGAGGATCTGCCCGGACCAGCCTGAGTAGATTGCAAACCACAGTTCGATGACGTAGAGACAAATGTTCTTGTAAAAACTATACAGGATGATCTTACACATTCTGGAAAAAATTATAAGTAAGTTTTAAAATGTTTTGAACGGTATAGATTTGTACCTTGAGTAGTTCCAAGCCCCGTGTACTAACAATAATCTCAACAGGAACCTGAATTGCGCTATACTGTAGTCCGAAGCGCAAGCAGCTTGAAGACCTTCCACTCCCGATATTCCCACTCCGACATGCGCCTTCTGGATCATAGCTACGTCGTTGGCACCATCACCAATGGCGAGTGTAACCGTCTTCGTATATTTAGTTACATATTCCACTACCTAGAAATCAAATACGTACGAAAAATTATTGACATAATCAGCCAAAAGTCAGAATACTGTAAGAAATGTTAGTTAATAAATAATGTTGATATTTACTTCGGCTTTCTGCATCGGCGACACCCTACAGCAGATCACCACTTTGCAGGAAACACACAGTCTGAGGAAATCGTTCCTTAGTTCACACGTCAAACAATACGTCAATGTTTTTCCGTCAATTATCAGTGCCAGCTCGTTTTGTTTTTCCAAATTTACTCCGATGTCTTCGCAATGTCTTAGAATTGCTTCCCTACTTTTCTAAAAGCAAAAATAAAAATTGAAAAAATAATCGTATTTTGAAAGCATCCAACAATGTGTGACTGATTTTATAAGCAGCTAAAGACTGATTTGGTCCAAGAATATTACTGATTTTAAAAGTACTTAAGAAGGTGTGCCTAAGTTCAAAAGAAGACAGACTTTAAAATTATCTATAAACATATGACTAATTTTACAGATACCAAATAATGTATAACAGTTTGTAAAATCTCCTAGAGACGCATAACTGATTTTAAACATACTTAACAACGAGTATCAACGAGTATAGAGAATCAATCAAAAGAGAACATTGGGCCAAATTCACTTGCGACATGGACTACGACCTATATGGTGCCCAAAAGAAAGTATGGAAAATGCTCCGCAACAGGAAAAAACCAGTTAACGAGTTCGTGCAGACCAAAGGTGTACCTATAAAGGCATGGCAACAGCATTTTAAAGAGCTATATGATGCTGAAGAAACGCTGAATATAAACGAAGGCGAAACAGATGTGAGTGCTACAATCAATGACGAAGAAGTAGAAGCAAAGATCAAAAAGCTAAAAAACAGAAAATCACCTGGAACGGATGGTATACCCAATGAACTTTTAAAATATGGAGGCCCGGAACTTGCAAGTAAACTGGCACAACTATTTAACAAAATATTAAACAAAACAGAAACATCAGAGGAATGGCATAATAGTATCACAATCCCCATATTTAAAAAAGGACAAAAAACCTGCCCACAAAACTATAGAGGAATAACCCTCTTAAATACAACAATGAAACTTTTCACGGGTATTCTCAAGGACAAATTGGAAAAGCAAATCACTAATGCTGAAGAACACAAGGTTTTACAAAAGTGCGGTCTATAACAGACGCAGTATTTATAATAAAACAAATAAAAGAAAAAGCTATAGAGTTCGGCATGCCAGCGTATATTTGCTTCATTGATTTGACGAAGGCATTAGACAGAGTTCGCCTGGGAGACATTCTAAATATATTAATAGAAAATGAAACACCGACCAGTATAACAAAGATACTCCATAACCTAAATAACAACAACGTAACCAAAGTTAGAGCAGGAGACGAATTCACTGAAAACATTCCAACACCGGGAGGAATTAGACAAGGCGACAGTTTAAGCCCCTTCTTGTTTAATCTTCTCATGGGCAAAATTATCAACAAAGTAACGTCTCTTAATCTCGGATATAGAATGGGCAACAAAAGAATTGGTATGGTGTGTTACGCAGACGATGCAGCAATTATTGCCGAATCAGAAGATGATCTCCAAAGGCAGCTCTTTCAGTTCTTTCAAACAAGCCGACTACTAAATATGAACATCTCTACCAACAAAACTAAATGTATGACAATAGCAAAAGATCCGCTCAGATGTAAGTTAGTGGTTGAGGACAACCCCATAGAACATGTGATGCAATTAGATATCTGGGCACAGATATATCAAGCACCCACGACCCAGTAAAGGACCTGAGGAGTCAGATCAACAAAGCATCTGCACTGTCAGGATGTCTGCGGGAGATAGTCTGGTCAAATCCGTATATGCGCACAGATAGTAAAATTAGAATCTATAAGACTTGCATACGACCGATCATGACATATGGCATAGAAGTGCGCGAAGATACCAACAAAACGAAACAGATGCTAAGGGTTGCCGAAATGAAAACCCTAAGAACAATAATGGGGAAAACAAGAAGAGACAGAGTGAGAAATACAAACATTAGAGAGCAGTGCAAAATTCAAGATATTGTAAGATGGGGAAGGCAGCGCAAGAGGATGTGGTACAACCATGTAAGACGAATGGATGAGAATAGACTCCCAAAAATTGCCCTAGAAAACAATCCGCCCGGTTCAAGACCCCCCGGAAGACCACCTAAAAGTTGGAGGGATAGTTGGCAATCTAACTCCCAACAAATTAACCAGAGACAGCTTCAGAATTAAACAGATCGAAAGATCTACAAAAAGTAGAAGAAGAACAACGAGTAACTCATTAGGAGAACTTAACTGAAGATACGAATGATTTTTCAGAAATTGTGACTGATTTTAAACTAGATAAAGGCTGATTTTAAAGATATTGCATAATAGATGACTGATTTTATAGGTAAATAACATTATGAAACACATTTTTAAAACACCTAAATACGTGTAATTGATTATAAATATACTTAAGATTGTGTGCCTGATTCAAAGAGTTATAGCAACTGATTTTAAATGTATCTAAGAAGACATTACTTCTAACTGACTCTTCTGACTTTTAATAACTCTTCAGAATGGCTAGCACATTTTAAAAACGGCTGGGAATGTACGATTGGTTTTAAAGGTACTTAAAAACGTGTGACTGATTTTAAGACTAGATAAGGGCTGATGTTCCAGTTACCGTAGAACATATAACTGATTTTAAAGGTAAGTAATGACATATAATAAAATTTAAAAGCATCTAAAGAAATATAACTGATTGTAAAGATAATTAAGAATGGGTCCCTAATTTTTAAGTATCTAGGAACTGAATTAAAGGCAAGTAAGGACACATAACTGATTTTAAAAATAAGACGGGAGATGCCAGTATTGATACTTACGTCCAATCCGTCTTCATTAAGAATAATCAGCTGCATCCCTTGGGATAGAAGTCTGCAAGAGTATCCAATGTTTATGGCAGTTTCTTGTTTATCACCCGTCAACACCCAGACATTAATATCAGCTTGAAGTAGAGCTGCTATCGTATCAGGTACACCTTCTTGTAATTTATCTTCTATGGCAGTAGCACCGACCAATTTCAATTTACGTTCTATCAGATTTGCAGCTTCCTCGATTTTTTCTAAAAAAAAAACAGATCATAAATACAATAACCAAACCTATGTCTGGTTTTAGTACCTTCTCTATGTTGTAGGGATATGCTGGCTTTATGATACATCTCTTTCCAGTGCTCAAAATCAGCTTCTTTCAATTCTGCCACTGCGCAACATAAAGTTCTCAATCCTTCGCTGGCGAAATGCTCCAAATGTTGAAGAAGAACTTCGCAATGCTCTCTACCGGAGTTGTTGTCCAGTCTTTCGTATATAACCGAGTCTGCGCCTTTACAGAACAGCTTAATTTTACCTATGAATTAAAAACGTCGATACAGAAAGTGTTGTTACGTTTTAATCACAACCAACCTTTGGGATCCCTCACTATAACGCTCATCCTCTTTCTTGCCGAAGTAAACTCAAGTACAGTCAGTATCTCATATCTTTCCCTGGTGCCTAACGCATCGATTTCTACATGATCTGGAGTTCTGCTTTCGAAGACGTATCCATATTTGGCAGCACCATATACTAACGCCCTCTCATCCGGGGATGCTGCATGGTAAATCACTTCACCTTCTGGCGTCTTCTCGGGAATGACTGTATGACACACAGATAGAAGAACGAGCATTTCTCGCATTAAGTTAGCATTCTTGTGGCCGTCGCGAAGGTTCTGAAAAGAAACATCGAAAAATATAAAATTAGTAAAGTTCAAGACAAAAAGTTATAAAACAGGCAAGAAATATCAAATATTCAATTAAGGAATGAACAAAAAGCAACATAAAGATTATTAGGAAAGCTTCTTTACCTTTACTAAGATCGAGTCCTCTACGTTGTCTGTGGTCGTGAAGACATCCCTACCGATAGCTAGCTTCTTAAATTCCATAATGTTTCTCGTCAGGGTGCCAGTCTTATCGGAAAAAACATACTTGACTTGCCCCAGCTCTTCGTTCAGATTAGAAGTTCTCGCCATTGCAGGAGTGTTTGTCTCTGCGTGGTACATTTCTGCATCCATGTTGATAAATATAGCCTAAAGATGTTAGTTCATTAAATGTATTTGAAATATTTGCTAACAAAATACAAAATGAGTTGTACTTTAAAGTAATAAGAGGTAAAAATTAATGAAGATGTGGCAACACTGTATTTAACCGCAGAAGTTAATGAGAAAGTGTTTTTATTGGTGAGCGACTACCATCTCGCGGTGTATTGGTTATAGTTTAACGAGAAGTTTCCTCATGAGGACTCAGGGAGTTATTCTTCATAAGGTACAGCTCACAAGTACATTGTACAGCGAGGACATGGACTAGGCGCTTTTGATAGACGATCACTCGCTACAAACTTCAATTGTATCATATATATCTGGATGAGTTGCTTTTTGATTTGCTCGCTAGTGGTTTGGGTAAATTTATCGGTACAACATATCCTGTGGACCTGTGATTGAAATTAAAACGAATAATAACCTGCAAGAAACCGAGGCCATTACCGATTTACATGAGTTACTTAAAAAAAATTATATGAGAAAATATTATATTTACCTGAATGAACCTGACGACTTCCAATGTTACTTGAAGTGATATTGGTATCAAATTATTAAAAAGAATCAAAAATGTAAGTAAGTTGTAGAAAAAATTATAGGAATGATCTGAAACAAAACAAAAATTATTAGTATAATAATGTATTATCTCTAGAAAGTTTGTGTAACTTTACTTTCGGTGATTTTTGTGTTCTTTAAGCTTCTGAAAGATCACAAGAAATTAAAGTTTGTAATTTGACGATCCTGCTACAGTTGGACCACATAAATCCACGGCTTGGATTTCTAAAGTTGGCTTTAGTTAAAGAAGATTACTTTGCGTGAGTGAACTATTATAAAATAGGCACAAAAGCACGTACTGTAAGTCCAGATATACAAGAACTTGGTTGACTGATAACAGTGATGTGGCCAGCAAATTATCCCAACTTAAACCCAATTAAAAAAATTTAAAAAAACATCTTTTAAGAGTGGCAATTTAATAATCAATCAAATAAACAACAATAATTTCAAAGAATAGAATAAACAAATAAAGAAAGGAGTAAAGGAAGATTTAAGAATCTATAATCAAAACAAGGTAGAAAAAATAATAGAAATGAACCAAGGCCTGAAATGCTTAAGATCAAACTTAGGAAAGCCGATAATAATCTCATTGAAGGATAAAGATGGAGAAGAAATAAGAGAAAAGAACGAAATCCTAAAAGTTACTCAAACATTTAACCGTAATTTATATTCATTAAACAAGAACCCAGATAACACTGCAAAGGAAGATCTTAAAATAAAGATAACGAACGTCAACTCAAAGACCACAAATGAGATGGGCAGATGATATTAAGAAGATCGAGGGACACAACTGGAAGCAAGTGGTGCAAAATAGAAGACACGATTGATTTGGGGGAGGCCTATGTCCAGTTGGATTACTTAAGGCCGAAAAAGAAGAAGAAGAATTTAATAATCAGCCTTATTCGTCCAACAGATGGCACCTACTTCCTAGATTTTTTATATAATAATAAAAATATAGTCTATCCTACTTACCTTCTAAGCCAATATACCAGTCACGATCAGCATGACTTTTGGTCCACAAAACGTTAAAAATGGAACAGATCAAGCACATCACGAACAGCACACCGAACAGTAGAAGGATCTGGACGTTGGTCATCTTATCAACTGTAGAACGCTTCAAGGGCGCCATGGCCGAGTTCTTCATCAGCTTTGTCTCGTGGCCGGTGTATATCACGATTCCGAACACCCACGAGGTGTTTCGCAAGATGGCACCGCGGAGAAGAATCTGGTCCGGTCCAAGAGGTTCGGGACTAAGAAAAGAAGTAAGAAATATATAATTACAGTAACTTATCAAAAGTTATGTTAAGTTTTAAGGATATATGAAATTCCACAAGATAAGAAAATTGCAAGAAAGTCTGAAATAGTAAAGACTCTAGAATATTGAATATAAAATATATATATTGTAAAAATGTAACTACTTGATTTCTGTTAGCACCCTATAACACTACTGCTCTAATTGTGATTAAAATATGAATAATGGGGTGATCAGGAGTACAATTGATCGAATGCTGAAACGACGTTTTTGTTCGATTATTACCATGAATTTAAAAAGTACTTACGATCGTCCGGACTGTCTAATGACACCGTTGAATTCATATAAGTGTTTATTGGGCGGCTCACACTCAATAGTACCGAACAGCTGCGCCAAGTCTTGTATGCTCGTCAAAGTGGAGGTACTAGGCAGAGCTTGTCTGATTTTCAAGTTAGTCTCTCCGTCCAAATTTGCGGTTTCGATAAAACTCATTCCTTGAGGCTCACTAAAAAATTATTAGAGATTTGCTCAATTTTTTCAGCAGGTTATACTGAGAATTCGATACACTCACAACTCTTATTAAAATAAAGAATTCAAGAAGATATTTTACAATATATTTATTTTACCTTGAAGATAAAAGGACCAGATCTGCTGGAAAAAAATTGTTGTTCCAAACTTTCACTATATCCCCTACTACTACGTTCTTCCACCGCACATATATCCAGTTATCCCCTCTAAGCACTTCTACTTTTCTATGGTTCGTTTCGTCATCGGCTCTATGTCTTTTCTAAAACAAAAGCACCTAAGTGAGACCTAGAAGTACTTTAGTCTGATGTTTACTTACGACATCCTCTATAATTTCCTTGATGGCAGATACAGATAATATAAAAATTAGAGGCACTAAAGTGGTGTATCGGCCGGTGGGCGAGACGTCGGGGATCTGTTGTAACATCGCTATCATAAGAAAAAACACGTTGGCCCATCTTCGGAACTGTTCGAAAAGGAACAGCGGTATGAATCTTACAATACTGAAAAAAAAACAAAATTCGTACAAATACTCAAAGAATATTTAAAAAGATATGTTTTCTGCTGTTAGCGCATTCATTCCATACCCGAATTGAATCGACGCTATTTTGGACTAAATGCTTAGAAATCGCACTGTGCGAAGTCAGGACTTTAATGTGGATTATTGATTAACCAAGAGCATCAATGTATACATTCCAATGAAAGTGAAAATAAAACATATATAACACTGCCAGAATACAAGTTAGTTAGTTAGTTAAAGTAAGGCTTTGAAAACTGGTCAGGTAAAAAGAGAGAAGAACCACTAATGCATAGAGCAAAAATGAAAATGCTTATGTGGATGATCAGTGTATCAATAAAGGATAAAATTAACAATGGATCTATTGGGGGTAGTCTAGGTGTAGCGCCAATTGCTAAAAAGAGAGAAGAACCACTAATGCATAGAGCAAAAATGAGAATGCTTATGTGGATGATCAGTGTATCAATAAAGAATAAAATTAACAATGGATAAGTTTTTGCAAGACTTTTTATTGCAATATCAAGATAAGTTTTTTGCAATAATAAAAGAAAATATAAGAATCAATCATTTCTGGTATTCCTCAATATTACTTAAAGACACTGCAGTGTTCGTTTATAAAGTCCATCAAAAAAATTAAAATACAAGTACCGATATCTTGTTTATCAGTTAAAACATCTTTGTCAAATTGCTATACTCTATTCAGAATGTAGCGGGTACGAACTCTTTGGAGAATCGTATCAGGAAAAATGAATCAATCCCTGTCCTCCGCAGATTTCAAGTGTTTCCTGACCCGGGAAACTAGTATCTGCTTAGGGTCCCTTGTCCAGGGTCATGGATGAAGTTCACAATGGCAGCCACGGCGGAGAAGAATACCTTCAGTACGATGTGGATGGCGGAATTGGCAATCCTTTTATAAAATCACTCACTAACCCGTCTAGCCAGCGTGGTGTTTTAAGGCCAAAAAACCTCCTAACAGGAATACGGCGATATCTAAAACAAAAGGAATCTGTCCCCAGGTGGGTAGACCATACAGTAATGGCAAATCCCACTCCTTTGGAAAAAAGAACAGCTTCGTGGAATCTGAGGAAGCAAGAAATCGCTAAAAACCACACGATTGAACATCGCAACTCTAAATATAAGGTACTTATGCAAAGATGAAAAAGTCTACGAACTCAAAGAAGACATTAAGGACTTAAAATGGGACATAATTGGTCTAACAGAGGTAAAAAGAAAAGGGGAAGAGTGCATAACACTAGAGTCCGGTAACGTCCTATATTACAAAGGGCGAGAAGAACAAAGCCTAGATGGTGTAGGATTTCTAATTTCCAAGTAATATACACATAAAGATGGACAATTCGTATGAATATCTGAAAGAATTGCAATGATTAGGCTAAATGTAAACATGAACATCTTCCTAAAAGTTATTCAAGGATACGCTCCAACCGCAGCACATCTCGATGAAGAGGTAGACGAATTTTATAAGAAAATTGCAGAAACTAGCACAATTTATCACAGCACGTATACGATGATAATAGGAGACTTCAACGCTAAGATCGGACAACGACTTGAAAAAACCGAAAACTATATAGGACAATTCGACTCTGGAGTTAGAAATGAGAGGGGAGAAACCTTGGTTAACTTCCTACAAGCCCACAAATATTATGCAATGAGAAGAAACTATAAGAGAGAGAAGAGATTATAAGAAAAAACCTCAAAGAAGGTGGACGTGGCTATCCCAAGACGGAAAAACTCGGAACGAAAGAGATTACATACTGTGTAACAAAACAGATATCATAGAGGACGTAACAGTATCTAAAATCTAGATAAACTTAGTTTAAATGAAATCAATGAAGTCATAACAAAAGAACTATTAAATGAAAGCTCAGAAGTGACAACCGCTAACAGATAACGTAGGTCCAAAATAAGTGTAGAATCACGAAACACGCTGAAACAAAAAAGATCTTCTGAGACAAAACAAAAGAGACACTGCAGAATTTAATCAACTTATCGAGTAATAAGAAAACAGATTAAAAAAGACATTAAAAAACATCAAGAAGACCGTGTAGAACAAGTCATAGAGAAAAACCGAAGTCTCAAATGCACCAAACCGAAACTAGGAAAGAAAAACATAATAACCATTAAAAATGAACAAGAACAACTAGAAAAAAGTAAATCTGATAAAGCAAAATCAATTGAAAAATTTTACGCCGATCTGTATCGTTCTAGAAACGATCCCCTAACTCCTCAAAGCAGAACTTGAAAAGGCATATAACAAATGTCAACTCAGAAGTGATGCCCTAAATAAGCCACGAAGAAATAGAAGGAGCAGACGCAATAAAAGAAATAAAAAGGAATAAAGCTCCTGGAACCGATGGAATCCTAGCAGAAATGCTGAAGGAAGGCGGAGAAGAAGCCATCACATATATAAAAATACTATTTAATAAATGTCTATTCGAAGGTAACATACCCGAACAATGGAATGCTGCTAAAACAATACTATTACACAAAAAGGGAGACACCACAGACCTTAAAAATTACCGACCAATTTCACTTCATTCACGACTTTACAAAACCTTTACAAAGATTATTACAAACAGGTTAACAATTAAATTTGACGGATATAAACCAGTAAAACAAGCCGGATGTAGAAAAGGGTACATAACCTGTGACCAACTAAATATCCTAAAAGTCCTAATAGAAAAGAGTAGCGAATACAATATCTCATTGTATCTGGCTTTTATAGATTATGAAAAAGCTTTTGATAACGTAGAACTGTGGGCAATAGAAGAAGGATTAGTCAACAACCGGATCGACTCCAGGTAAAGCATATTAATACATACTACATATTTATGAAAGCTGAAATGATAGTGACGTTGGGTAATGGAATCGAAACAAGACCAGTAAAAATAAACCGAGGCGTAAGACAAGGCGACACAATATCTCCAAAATCATGTACAGCTATCCTAGAAAATATCTTTAAGTCAATAGACTGGGAAAATAAGGGAATCCCTATTAACGGAAGATACTTGAACCAGCTTAGATTCGCAGATGATATAGTACTAATAGCCGACACGTGGAATGCATTGAATACGTTAATTGAGGAGCTGCACGCAGTATCCCTAAAAAAGGACTGAAAATAAATTTCAGCAAAACTAAACTAATGTCAAATAAAGATGACAAACCTATGATAAACATCCAAGGGACAGAGATAGAACACGTAGATGAATATACATACCTGGGTCAAAATGTCAACGTAAGTAAAGAAAATCAGACTACCTAAATAAGCAAATGTGTAAAAATGGGATGGGCAGCATTCGGAAGACTCTCGTACGGACTTAAAAATAAAAATATACCTCAAAGACTGCGAACCAAAGTGTTTAATTCCTGTATCCTATCTGTTCCTACATATTGAGCTCAAACCTGGACATTCACTAAAAGAAACATGGAGATCAGAAAATCTCAGAGAGCCATGGAATGACAGATGCTGGGTATCTCACTCAAAGACCATAAAACCAATGAAGATATTCGTAATAGAAGAAAATTTAAAGATTCTGTCGAACAGGCAGCTAAACTGAAATGGAAATGGGCTGGACATAACGAATGTCTCAAGGATGGCCGATGGAATAAAGAAATCGGGAATTGGAGGCCATATCAAGCCAAAAGACCACGAGGAAGACAGTAAATGCGCTGGAGCGATGATATTAAAAGAACTGCAGGACCAATGTGAAAACGTCTTACAAACAATAGAGATGAATGCCGAGAATTAAGAGAGGCCTATATTCGGCAATCCAAATAGAGAGAAAGGTTTAAAAAAATTCAGAATATTATCTTACCTGTATTTGGCTGTTGATACCCTATTATTAACAAATTTGGAAACTGGCGGTTGCGTCCTATTGATAAATATCACACGTTGCTCGGCACTAACTCTAGGATCAGCTGAGGTCTCAGTGTCCCTGTCGAGTGCAGATGATAGTTTTCCATCTTCCTCATCTAAAAAGAACCATTTATAATGTAATAATATTACGTCTTTCTATTGTCCAACTTTTCTACTATAACTAGTATTATGTTATGGTAATTTGAATCTAACACTGCAATTGTATAAACAACCACATCATCGGATCAACAAGTGAAATCTTAGGAGAAAATTGCAAAATTGAACATTTGGTAAAATTCCTTAAAGATATCAATGTATTTAACAAAATCTAACATTTATTGTAAATAAATTATCTTATGTATGTCGCTAATAACCTCACAGATTGATGCGACTATTTTCTAGAGTAAAAAAAAACTGCAATTGTATCCACATCCAAATTTAAAAGTTAGTCAGTTTGCAGAATTTTTTTATGTTTCAAAAGTTTTGAAAATACTTAAAATAAACCGCGCACACAAGCAAATAAGGTGAGTTTGAATGAACTTGTCTATAAGACGGAGTAGCTTTCATCATAAGCAACACTAATAGAAAATCAGTGCTAGGTGTGATTCAAATCTCAGAAAGAATAATAATGCTAAAAATGAAAGCACTGAAGTGTAATAATAACACGATCCAAGTCTATGCTCCCAAAGCTGATCAGACCGAAGATGAGATCGAAAAGTTTTGTTCAGAAATGCACAATACAATCAAGTTAACAAAATCTAGAGATATTACTTACATTTTAGGAGACTTTAATGCAAAAATTGGAGTAGGTACAGTTGAAAATATAGTTAGACAGTTCGGATTACAACCTAGAAACGAGAGAGGAGAAAGGCTCCTAGAATTCTGCCAAGAAAAGAATATGGTAATTGCCAAATACTTGGTTTGAGCTTCCTTAAAGAAGACTATATACATGGACGTCTCCTTCACATACAGAAAACCACATTGTCAGAAACCTCTAGACTTTATATTCGTAAATAGCAGATATAAAAACTCTATAACCTCAGTTAAAACTTATCCTGGAGCAGATATTAACTCAGACCACAATATGTTAGTTGCTGACGTGAAAATAAAATTAAAAAGAATTGAACTCAGCAAACAACAACCAAAAATTAATGTAAGAATACTAAAAAACGAGGAAATAAACAACAAATTAAAAAATAATGTGAATGTTAATATGCAAAAAATACTAACTGACAACAAACAAATTATGGATGTAAATAAAAAGTGGTATAATATAAAAATACATTACTGAAACCAGCTCAAGAAAGTTTGATATAACATAAGTCAGAAGCTAAAAAACCGTGGATGACAGAAGAAATACTATTACAGATGGAAGAAAGAAGAAATTATAAAGGAAAAGATATACAGAAGTATAAAGAAATACACCGAATAATTAAGGAAACAAATCAAAACAGCTAAGGAACTCTATTTGATGAAACAATGTAAAGAGATAGAAGAACTAAAAACAAAATATAATATGAGAAATATGCACAAAAAAATTACAGAAGTGACTGGAATGGGTCGAAATAGACAGCAAGGACACATAAAAGACAAAAAAGGAGTACTACTAGTAGATTTACCAGAGAAATTAAGACGATGGGAGGAGTACGTTAGAGAACTTTTGCAAGATGAAAGAGGTGCAATGCAGAAAATATAAGAATTAAATCCTTTAGAGAGACAGGAGATCACGATAGATGAAATCAAATATGCTATCAAAAACTCTAAAGACAATAAGGCAGCTGGATTAGATGAAATAACAGTAGAACTGTTCAAACTAGTGGAAGAGGCTAACTTGGAAGTATTTGCAGGTTTATTCAACACGGTGTAAGATACGGGAATAATACCATAAGAGTGGCTGAAATCAGCATTTATAACCATCCTAAAAAACAATCAGCAAAAGAGTTCTCTGATTATCGAACACTGAGACTCATGAGTCATTTTTTAAAAGTACTGCTGAAAGTAATACATAAGAGACTATACGAAAAGCTAGAGGATGATATTAGCGAGACGCAGTTCGGTTCCGAAATGGAATGGGTACTCAAGAACGACTATTTACCATCAACATATTGATTCAGCGACGTCAGGATGTAAACGTTGATATACACTTGTGCTTTATTGACTACGAAAAAGCTTTCGATAAAGTAACACATGAAAAACTAATATCAAAATATATGAACAAGCGCATTGACAGTAAAATCATAAATATAGTGCAAACATTATATTGGAACCCAAATTGATGGGCAACACTCAGAAGAAATGAAGATCTGTAGATGAATTAGACAGGGATGTGTTTTATCGTCACTTTTGTTTAACTTATAACTGAAGAAATTTTCCAAAACACGCTCAATAATATTAAAGCGTGAGTTACCGTTAAAAAAAATTAATTAACAACTTACGATATGCAGACAACACTGTGATCATAGCAACGATTATAGAAAATCTACAACATCTTATCGAAAGCTTAAGTATGAATAGTGCTGAGATGGGAATTACTATAAACGCTAAAAAAAGAAGTACATGCTAATTACAAAAAGACCACAAAATATACCTCACCTATTGACAATCAATGGTAATGGGATGAAGAACAAGTAGAAAAATATCAGTACTTGGGAACTTTGACCAATGAAACCAATGATCATACTGCAGAAATAAACAGGCGAATAGAGATTGCTAGATCAGCATTTATACGAATGAAGCTACTCCTGACGCGCAAAAATCTAAATTTGGAGATCAGTCTACGTACCATTCGCTGTTCATATATTTTCAATATTATTATATGGAGCTGAGAGTTGGACATTAAAAAAAGCAATTTTAAAAGAATCGATGCTTTGGAACTTTGTTTATACCGCAGAGTATTAAAAATATCATGGACTGATAGAATTACCAATAAAGAAGTACTGGAGAGGGTTGGTAAAGAAACAGAAACTAATCACCACTATACAAACCAAAAAACTGGAATACCTAGAAGTGATGAGGGGATCAAAATATGAAATTTTGAGACTCATAATACAGGGAAAGATTGAAGGAAGATCTGTTGGTCGAAGGCAGAACTCATGGTTGAAGAATATACGTGATTGGTATCAATGCAGATAGATTGATTTGTTTAGAGCAGCAAGTTCTAAAATAAAAATAGCCATTATGATTGCCAACCTCCGTAGGGAGACGGCAATCTAAGAAGATGAGACTTTGTTTATTATCCCTAGCAAACATCTTTATTTTATATGTTGCAAAGTAAAAAATAGCTTAAATGTGTTTTAAATGCATTTATTTTCTTTAAATTCGTGTTTTAGAAAAGTAGAAAATTGTTAGGTTGGAAAATTTAAATTTATATAGAAAATTTATTTTGTGGGAGAGACTATTTTTTTTTTGATAGCTCTACTTAAACTCTGAAAGACCTACAGTATTTTCTGTAACAGGAAAAACAACTTTGATACAATAATCTTACCTACACAGAAGTCAGATATATCATAAAATAGATCCGTATAACAATAACTTAGACAATATTTGTAAATATTTCTTCGCAATCCACTAAAAAACCTTGTCGCGAAATTCAACCGTCTAAAAACTGACATATTCCTAATAAAAAGTAAAAAGATTCCAAACTAGCATAACGGAGAATAAAACAGATGATTGAACTCATAAGTTGAAGGACATTACACGATATGTTTATTATTCATCGATTCATTAACTTTCAAAACATCATCTAGTTATCTCTATCGCAGGCTGTTTTGCTTTTTAGTTAAATAATCGATATAATTTATCAAGTTTTTATATAAATTGATCGTTATACAATAGATTCAGACGTTTTACGCAGTGATTCTTGTACAAAAAGTTGGTACAGTTGAGTCCATGGTTTTTTACCTCATGCGGCATTAATACCTGGTGAGATAAAACACATACTTTTTATTTTGCATCATTGTCTTCCACTGTATTCCTGTTATTTAGTAAAGACACATGTTATTTTTATTAACGCTCTATACTCAATACATTGAAAAGAGAAAGGTGCAAAAAAAACGCTTTAAATACAATTTGTGACGTTTCTGATTCGTTTACTTATGGCTGTCACGGTCGGATTTTTTGTTGTATTTTTTGCCTTCTTTTTGCATTTGGAAGTTACACATAAACAGTTGTTTTCACCTAATTTTATATTGCAGTTGGAAACTTTAGTGTATTTTATTTTGAAATAAATTTGCATACAAAGTTAACCTTATTCACACAGTTAAGAAATGGTTTTGCTTAACTTTCGGCAAAAGTGAAAGAAATGACAAAAAGAAAACATTTTATTGATTTTTTTTTATTATGCCTGGAAAAACTCTTATTTCACAACCACAAGAACTCGTTTTAAATTGAATCGTGTACTTTAAATTAAAGAAAAGGAATGGAGGACCATTAAAACACAGAGTGGCCCAAAAGTCTGAAAACGACCAATTATCTCGTAAATTGCTAGTCACAATTTTACAAAATTTGGGGTACACCTTTTTTGGGAGAGATTCTATATGTGATATTTGCAATGTTGCCAGATTTGCCGTTTCTCTTATATTATTAGTAACTTTGGTTTTTCAAATTCATCACCCTGTATATTCAGTCATTATTGGAATCTCCTATTCAATATGAGTTCAAACATATGAAACAGTGACAGAAAAAGATCTTATTGTGAAGTAGCAAACTTGTTCAACGATTCTTTCCCAAACCGTTCTCCTATTCATAAGGCGACGGTACAAAAAACTGTAAAGCGATTTGAGGAATCTGGAGAAGTAAAAGATAGATACAAAGTTGCACAAGTACATGATGTAGGTCGTTCTTCAGTCTTACGTATATTACGTAAGAATAAATTTAAACCATACAAATTAACTTATTGCAAGAATTAAGTGAAGATGACTTTGATCATAGATTAGAGTTAACTGAGGTAATGATGGATAAAGTTGAAAATGATGAAAATTTCGTTAACAGAATATGTTTTTCCGATGAAGCAACTTTTACACTATGTGAAAGTGTAAATCGACACAATTTAAGGTACTGGTAAGGTACTCAGTTAATTGTGCCATTTTTTATCGAAGGAAATTTAACGTCAGATAGT